GCTTTCTTTGGGATTTTTGTTGTTACATTTCTCTCCATTAGTTTGAATGTGTGTCCTTTTTCTCTACTGGTGACTACACTAGAAATTAGAGCATGTATGTGGCTTACCAGGATCAAGCAGGACTTGATATTTCTGCCTCCTTCCGGTGACAGCACCCCTACACTTTTCATACCACTCAGCTCATCTCCTTTGCTGCCCCCGTGAATTTGCTCCATGGTAACCCTCCAATGGGACTGCTAGCTTTACACCGCATGTTTATTGGGATTTAGTTCTATCAGCTTGCATTTTGGTTGCTTTCTTCCTATATTTCCAGGCTGCCCCCAGAGACTCTTCTAACCTGAATTTAAAAAAAAATTTTTTGAAACAGATCTTATTGTGAATTCTGTGGTTTCGTTTCCTGAGACTGTCTAACCCCACCTTTGTTCTGTTTTTTAAAAAACACTGGAAAAGGTTATTTGCAAATGTAAAAGTGAAGAGAAACTGGCTCTGCAGAGTGGACTTGGGCCAAGTGCAAGAGGAAAAGGCAGGATAAAAGTACCCTGGAGGGCATAGGGTGAGCTATCTTGAGGAAAGCCCCCACCTGTATTCTGGATGAATATTTTACAGGTTGCAGAATTCTAGGTTGGCAAGCATGTTCCGTAAGCACATCATGACATCACTGAACAATTTAAGCATTTGCTTTGTGGAAGTCAGTGACAGCCCCACTGTTACTGCTTTAAAGATAATCTCTTTTTCTCTGGGGTTGGATACTTTGTGGTTTCCTTTCTCCCTCTCTGTAGTTTGAGGTCTTTATCAGTTAGAGAAATATTTCAACCATTATCTCTTAAATATAATATTTCAATTACATTCACAATATCATCAAATATACTGGCACCATTAATTTATATAACCAATAAATGAAAAAAACAAACCTATGGCCAATTAAATAAATTCTGACATGTATTCTTGTCATTTAAGAATCATCTTATACTTGTTGCTATTATTTTTTATTAGGAAAAAATGTGTTATATGTATATAGGTCGTTATATACAATGATGTATGTTCATTCTACTGAGAGAAGGGGGAGAGATCCAATCTATGAAGTTGGCTCACATGATTGCAGAGTCTTGTCAAGTTTGAAGTCCAGTGGGGAAGCTGACGGGCAGGACTCTGGGAAAAGACACAGCCACAGTACGGAGGAAGACTGCTGGAACATTCCCATTTGCTCAGCGGAAGTCTGACTTTTCTTGTTTCGGCTTCCGATGGACTGGCAAGGCCCACCTAAACTGTGGAAAGTAATTCGCTTTCCTCAGAGTTCGGAAACATCCTCCCAGAAATCTCCAAAATAATGTTCAATTAAACATCTGGCCCACATGGTCCAGACAAGTTGATGCATAAAATTCACCATCACAGCACCAAACAAAGAAAATACACATGAAACAGATTGCTACACAGGTATTCTTAAAACTTCTTCCCACAAGGAATCTTTCATGGTTTAGATCTAACATGGCCTCCAAAGCCTCAGGCGTTCGGAAGATGATTGGATTATGACTGACTTGCTGTAGGGGTGGGGTCTGGCTGGGACACGTGAGTCACTGGGAGCTGACCTGGAAGGGTTCATCTCCCTCTCAGGCTCCTCCTTTGACTACTTCCTGGCCACTGTGATGTAAGCAGCTTTCGCCCTCTACACATGCTGCCAACCATGCGAAGACTGAAACTTGTAAACTGTGAGCCCAAATAAATCTCTCTTCCTTTAAATTGACACATACTGTGTCTCAGGGATGAGGAAAGTGTCAAAGATGTATCCAAATCTCAGGGTCACTTCTTGGCTACTGTCTGTGTGAAGAACTTCCTCAAAGATTCCATAAAGGATTTAAAGGCCATTAATGTTATGGGATCTGAATCTGTGGAGGTAGCACAGTAGCAATTTCTCCTTCCCATAACTATTTCATGGAGAGTGAAATAAAGTTCTTCCTTGCTGTCTCTGGGATTTTCTTGCAAAACAGTGACCCACATGGCTGCACATATGATACTTACAAATACACAGGCAATGATAATTGGTAACTGCTGCCCAGCTTTAGTAAAAGTAAGATGTCTTCAATTCTACGACACATCTCGGTTTCAGAAAAGGAAAAATGTGAAGAACCAATGTACATCTCAGCAAAGAAATATTTTATGACCTCTGCCCTTTCTCTTTTCTCCTTCTGAAACTTTAATTAAATCCATGCTAAACCTCCTATATATTTAAGTACCTTTCTCCCTGTATTTTCAAACTTTTACTGCTGCTAAATCCATCTTTCGCACTTTAATTTTCATTATTACATTTTTCAGTTCTTGAGTTTCTAGTTGTTTCTTTTGAAAATAAGCAATGTTCTAAATTTAATGGTTTCTAGTTACTTACTGAAATTTTTATGTTTGTCTTTTATCTCCAGAATTATTGCAGGTATTCTTTACAGGTATATTTTATGAAAGGACAAAAGACTTTTTAAAAATAAATAATTGAGGGCACTCTATGGAATAAAAGCCATATTGCATAACTTGCAACCACAACAGCATACACACAACAGATCATAAAAGATTGATTATGGATTCTGTTATCAGTTTCTAGTTTTTCCCCACCAAAGAGGTGGTAGAACAAAGTCAATTGGAAAGACATGAGTTTGAGTTCTGGCCATGTAATCTTGGGCAGTGACTTTACTTCTCTGAATCTTGCTATCTTTATCCATACAATTATGATAATAACCATAGAGATCAGAAGGAATTGTCTTGGATCCAGTTAGAGTAGGTATGGATGGCCTAAGTAAAGCACTAACACAATGCCTGGCCCACAGTGCACACGGCGCACAGGTGTTCTGTCACCACTAGGCACTGCTAAAGCCAGCCCCTTACTGCAACCATCTGTGTCTTCCTTCTGGCCTCCCTCAGGCCAGTCACACACAGCACTCCCACTAGGATGTCTGCTGCTTCTTCCAGGAGCTTTCCACTGAATATGCAGCTTTGCCAATGCATTTCCCCAAGAGCTTGCTTTTATGGTTTGTTAGGGTTTGGTGAATCTAGAGTGTATGATACTAGGATTAAGGGCGTGTGATTACTAAACCACTACAAGGGAGTGATGGTTTGGCACTGCCCTAATCCCAGTAGTCTCGATAAAATAAAAGGAGCAGAAAGACATTGTTAAGGTCTCTTGTTGCTTTTGCTGTCTTCCACCGCCATGAACTGTTGCCCCTTTGGAGCCAGCTGCTTATGGACTAAACCTCTACAAACTGTGAGCCAAATAAACCTTTCCTTCTTTAACTTTGGGTGTTGTGTATTTTGTCTCAGCAATGAGAGAAAAGTAGCTAACATGGTTTTTTTATCTGTGTCTTCTCGAGCTTTATCCAGTACAGCTTAGAAACCAGAGCTTTCTTCTACCATGGTGCTCTGCAAAATGCTGACCACACAGCCTGCCACAGCTTTCTGCCTCCCTAAGGGATGCATCCTCTTTGCAGGAACCGTGGCAATTGGAAGGGAGAGTGCAGAAGAGGACAGGAGCAGCTGCAGGAAGATTTGACAAAGAACATCTAAATTCCCTTTAGCAACACGACCACGTCCTGCACGCGGTGAGATTAGAAACCGATATCCAGTGCACACCAGGAAAGGTGCAGGGAGGACAACCCCGCCAATCCATGCACCTGCTCCTCTTGGATTCGCTCAGGGCAGTTCGTGGGCATTTCAGATCTCTGGGAAGGGGAGCTCATCTCCCCAGATGCAGCCTGGGCAGGTTACGTGGGAGCACTGGTGTGTGGACCATTGGCCTTGAGGTAGATCACCCCAGGGCAGCCTGCACTGCTATAAAAATGCAGAAGGAAACAAGGGGATGAAAGAATTCAGATGTGCTATGTAATATACCAACTCCCCACTGTGAAGGCAATCATGTGTAGTAGTAAAAGTAAACTTTTAAAAAGGCAGAACCCCAAGATGACCTTACCTTCTTCTATGTATTTGCCTTCCTTCTCCTTAAACCTGATTATAGATGCATTCCAATTAGCTGATGTCATAGAAACATAATTTCCTTGAGGGTAGAACTCTGGCCTCATTTATCTCCAAGGCCCTGGGGTCACCCTGTGCTTGGGATGAGATCTCCGCTGCCCAACTCAGAAACAATGGCATTGTTGAGCATGCGGTTCTCCAAATCACTTAATCCATGACTAATCCATGCTCAAAAGGAAGAACAATGCATACTTTGTTCCCCTAATGAAGATTTTGGTGAAGACGAAACAATGAAATATTTCTAAAAGTACAAGAGCGTGTCAAGACACTTACTGCTCTTTTTGTGGATGTAACTTGGGACCTTCAGCGACTCGTTTCTCTTTTCCACTGGAGCTGTCCCATCGCCGCAAGCCTGTGTCATGTAGTGAAGATTAACACATTAGAGGTCTCTTTAAAAAGTTATATTCAGTTAAATCTGCAACATAAATACCCTGGTCCTTGTCAGGTAAGAGGGCCAAAGACCAAGACCAGACCAGGCCACAACAAGCCTTTATTAGGGGAATAGATCTGCCGGGCTGTCTCTGAACAAAGGAGAGACAAAAGCAATATGGCCAGGGCAGGGAGAGTCTTTTATAGAGACTGGGGTGGGGTTTGTAGGGGCTGAGGCGGGGTTGACTGAGGTAGTGACTAGGGAATGGAGGAGCCGGTGATGTCACTAGGTGGTAGGAGGTGAGCGAGTATTAGGTTACTCTCTAGGTGGGAACAGGGGCATGCTGGGAAGAAGGGTTTGTTCTTTGGTGGGAGCAACCATCTTGGTATGATGTCACACAGGGGAGGGGCAAGGCACCATAGGAAGAGGGCAGCAACTATACCTAATAGCTGCTGAGGTGGTGGGAGACCTATCAGTCCTAACCCTCTGGATGCAAGTCCATTGTGATATTGTTTCAGGTACAAATGTGACTCCTAGGGTTTGCTGAGGTCATAATCATTAGGAAATATTTAGTGCCTGGATGTGTGCATGGCCTAAAAGAAACATGATAGGAGTCCTTTGGGGACAGAAACTGAATTCCGCTTGTTATTAACCTCTCCCCTTCCCTGGGCTGTGCCTTTCACCCGAACTCTGGTCCCGCCTTTCTCTGACACTCAGTTCATTGGTTATATATTTCCTAACGTTTGGCCTTTTATCTCTCTCCTTCTCTGAGTGCCTTTTTCACAAGTGAATTCTTTGGTTCAACAAGTCTCCATGAAACACATGCTTGGCATAATGCTGGGCCCCAGGTACAGAGAACACTGAGATGCTGTCTTGTCTGTTAGATTCTAGACGCTCACTGGAGAGCTTAGCGGGCTACCATGTCAACGATAGATCAGTATACTCCTCAGGGCTAACAGAGGAGTCTAAATGTTCCCCTGGGAGGAGAAATGCATGGGTATCTCACTCTGACCAAACCACAGTCCTCTGTCTTTGCTCTGTGGCAATGCCCTGTGGCTGGTACCAGGCCATGGCCAGCTTTGGGCCCTGAGCTCGGTGCTTCTCTCTGCATTGTCTCTTATGCTCCACAGCAAACCTGAGGTTATCCTTGTGTTATCCTCACTCTATCAATGAAGGGACAGAAGATCACCGACTCCTGAGAGCTCCCCGTTACCAATACCGTCTGCACTGACTAGTGAAGAGATTTTCAGCTTCAAGCAGCCACAAAGCCTCCCAAGCTGGATTCAGGAATTGAGAGAATGATTGGTTTGTACAAATGAAAGAAGCAGGATGAACCTCGGGTAAGGTTTATCCCTGCAGCTCCATGATGCCAGCAGGGGCCGAGCTCTTTCCTTCACTGTACTTTGCCTTCGCTCCTGCAGGTTTCACCCGAGTTGAGTCTGCTCTCAGAACAGGGATGCCCACTGCCCTGTCCAGTACCAAATGCTTCTGAGTGAAAGAAAGGAGCCTCTTCTCTGCCAGTGGAGGGAAGTTCTGGGCTGTCCCTCTGGCGCTGTGGCCTCTCGATCCCCAGCCAGACACTGCTGCAGGAGAATGGTGAGCTGAGAGGTAACTGGTTCCTCCTCTCAGGCTCTGGGGGAGTCTGTGCTGGAGAACTTGCTGGGATGATATTTGCCAACACGCAGCACAGTGCAGGCCTGCAGACGTGCTGACAGAGGCCGATTCCTGCTACGACTGTAACTACTTTGTTTCATATTCATGCATTCAATACGTAGTCAGTCATTCATTCAACAAACACTCGCTGTGCGCACACAGTCAATGTTCCCAGCACTGTTCCAAGGGCTCAGGAGAGTGTGGTAAACAAAATGAAACAAAATCTCTGCTTTCCTGACGCTCTCGTCCCACAAGCAATGAATAAATACACACCTAATAAAATTGGAATAAGAATAGGGGTGGGTGGGGCTGAGCGGAATTCTCCGTGTACAGAGCGGCCAGAAAGCAGCGTGTGAGCAGAAGACAGGACAGAGTGAGCCCGGGCCGAGGACAGAAGGGACAGAAGCACCGTGGAGCTCTGTGTTTGCTTTCGGCCCAGGGTCTGCAGAGGTCTGGCGAGGTGCGGGCCGTTTCCAAGGTGGACAATTCCTGCCAAATGCCTCGGAGCCACCTCGAGTGTCTTGAGGCCCAGCCACGGCCTTAGCAATAAAGCTGCTTCTGCTCCCTCCAGCCCTGCACGCTAATGCTCCCGACCCTTCCTGTGGGAGAGAGGCTCGAGGGGGCAGCAGGGCTGCGGGATCAGAACAGGGCGGGAGATGGGCGCATTCATTAACGCTGTCTGCGTCATTCAGGTGCGTCTGCGCGTGTGGCGGGATAGGACCCTTAGACCTCCGACCTGAACACCACGCGCTCAGCCCAGGTTTTGGTGTGAGCTGTATTTGGTCAACTGAGAAGTTAAATTTTGCCGTGTGCCTGGAACCTGCAATTCTGCATCTGTTTGAAGGCTCATTTTCCGTGTGATCCACCAGCATAAGAAGGTCATCACAAAATTTGCGATGCATCATCAGTGGTTCCAGGGAGCCACTCCACCGTGCGGAGGGGCCAGGGTGGAGATGTCAGGGGTTCCTCTTGCTGGACCATGAGTGACGGAGAACAGCCCGTATCGTTGCTCCTCAAGGGTGGGGAAGCAGTAAAACATCAGGGATAGGCCTGCCGGTGACAACAAAGGACAGGTCAGAGTTTACACGGTCGCTGACACATGTAAGTATGGGCGCTTCTTGGGTTACAGTGGAGCTACGTCCTGATGAGTACCAAGAGCTGACAGTGTCACAGTTGCCATGCACTGGACTCGTCTGTCTGCCAAACACCACAGCCCGTCCTGAGCTTCTCAGGTCTGCTCTGGGCACTCACCTTCGCTTGCCTTTGGGTAAAACCATCTAACACAGGGCCTATCTTACAATAAAGCGTGGATTGACCATGAAATTTACCCACTGCTGTTCTGAAAGTAAAAGGCAGAATGGTGTGTGGATGTGCTGTGGTACTATTCTAAAGCCAAAAACTCAAAAACCAACTACTATAAGTTGAAAACTTTCAGCACTGGCTCTCAGCAGCCTCGGACATTACGATAATGTGAACGTGATGCTCATAGAAGTTCATCCCGCTTATTTTGCCTGATTCACAGCTTCTCATTGCACCTTGACTTAAAAAAATCTGATCTTTCCTTTAACACCAGTCAAATAGAGTGATGGATCTTCAAGGGCACTGACTGTCCTGCACCAGACTTGTGAGCAGCTCCCCTCAGCCTGTCCCACTGAAATTGAGGGCTGTGGGGTTGGAACATGTGTGGTGCCCGTCATTTCATTGTTTAAACCTTGAGAAGTGGAAATTTCTTTGCAGGTGTTCCAATAATTACTTCCATATGTCACATTCACTGCTTCCAAAAGCAGGCCAGGCCTTCTCTAACCACGTAAGCAGCTCTCTGGGGAGACCAGCACTCGGTCCCCAACTTGACATTTGCCACTGAGAGCGGCAAATCATGTGATAGACTGTCCACCGCGAGACAGGATGTGAGGCCCCCGGAAATGCAGCTTCTTGCTGAACACTGTCCTGCATGATCGGAACCCCATGCACTTCCTCGCTCCACTCGAAAGCCATGACACTGTCGATCACAATGGCAGAAGTAATTGGCATCGATTCAGATGCAGACCTGGCCACAGATGTGCAACCCACTGCACGTTTGATTGTTTTTTTCTCTTTGCCAGTATAAGTGAACTCTGTAAAGATGTGATTAATGCCCTGTATGTTGTTAAATCCTCTGCATAAAAACAGCTTGTAGCACAAAACAAATGTTCAGTAAATGATAAATACTCAATGAATAAATGAATGGAAGTCATCTGACTTCCCATAGTACACATGAGGGGCTTCCAGGTGGACGCGCCTCGAGGGGTGGAAACCTCCGGTCTGGGGAAGTGGTTTCCGCCCAGTTCTGCTCACTGGCCAGGCATGGTCCCCACCTGCTCACCAGTCTCCTTGTTACCCGATATTCCTTAGCATTGGGCTCTTCAGGAGGAGATGTGAGCAGAAAGGTCAGAACAAATGCGCAGTGAATAAAAATGGAGGGGAGAATATTATGGGACTAAATCCTCAAAAAGTGGTAGGTATCAGCTGTTTGAGAGGGGGAAAGAAATCTTAACTTCAAGTTTGGATATAACCAGGAACAAAAGGCGGTAGGTACTACGTGGGATTTCCTTCACTGCTTCCGAGACCCTTCCCTATCTTTTGTCTTATTTGCATGAAGACAGAAATAATCCACCTGTAAAATAGAGAAGGGGTTGTTTTACAGGAAACAGGAAGAAGAAAGGCAACTCAGCTGAAGAAAAGAAACAAGGAAGAGGCACAGGAGCTGGGAGAGGGTCCTGGTCCCGGGGAACTTTCGTGGGCTTCATAAGCCTCGGTTTCTTCATCTGCGACTACAAGGCAACATTCTCTTGCAAATCTTCACCAGGAGGAGATGAGATATTAAATGCAAAAATACCTTTTAAATGATACCGTTGTAAATAAATGTGAGATACCATTTTTTTCAGAAAATAGGTGACAATTAAAACAGGCTACATTTTTGAAAGGAGAACACGTCACCTTAAAAATCAGAAAAACAACAAGGTTTAAAGCCACCTAATTGTACATATGCACTATAAATTTCAGTTCACAAGCTCAGAAGAAAAAATGTTCGCTTTTCCTAGAGCTTAATGTCTCTGCAAAGCCCTTCATTCCTTTTTGTGACTACAAAATTAGTTGTGGTCAAGGGAATGTAAACCTGCCACTTTGCTGGTTGTGTCTGCATTCTGGGGGGCTTTGGGGTCACAGCACTGGAAGTGGCGCCTGGCCCTGATATGACTGTCATGCACCATCACACTCTGCTGGGCTGCAGGGGAAGGCTGACCAGAAAGCCCTGCCTCAGTGGTCTCACGGTGAAGTCACGCAGGGCGTGTCCACTGGCTAGACAAACACAAGCGGTCCTGAGACTGATTTTATCCAGAAGACAACAGAGCCCACGTTAAAACCAGCCGCCTCTGCTTCTCTGAGCCGCAGAGAGATCTGGTGAGCAGCTCTCCTCTCGGTGCCAAAGAAGAGCTGGAGAACTTCCATTTGCTCCTGCCTGTTGAGCCGAATCTCCTGGCTTCTAAGTCATGAGTCCCTCTGTGTGTAAGCTCTCATCAGGGAGAAGCAAAATACCTATGCCTGTCCTCAGAATTCAAGGAAGCAATTATCTCATAAATACCTGCTTGATTCATTCAGTCTTTTGGATAAGCAACCTCTTGAATTTCCCTGGAATAACACTTATATTGCTAACACAAGTAGTTTAAACCCTTTGTAGCATACAGTGGGATGTAAACAAATAAATATGTAAATGAATTTCTATTCTGAACACCCTCAGAGTTCTTACACTTGAATGCAGCATAATAGAGCAACTAAATTCAAAAACTTGCTGAGTACATTCATGGGATGGGTCCTGTACCAATTTCCAGCTCTATACAAAGACAAAGGACACTGATGGGCACCCAAATGCTCACCATGGAAGTGTGAAGTCCACGTGCCTCTTCCGGCCAGTATTGGAGCACAGTACACAGCGGGGGAGGAAGTGCAGGGAGGCTGGCAGCTATGGTGTATGGAGGATTAATGAGGTTGGAGGCACTGAGCAGCGAGGGCCCACACTGAACTTCATGCGGGAGGCACCAGCACAGGGCACCTCAGGTTCCCTGCCAAACAGATCAAAGCAAACCTTAGCCTTAAAAGAAACTACAAACTTTCATTGCATCTCAGGGCAAGATGGTTCTAATACAATCTACTCTCTTCCAAGATGAGGCAGGGGACTCTGGGTCGAGCTTGGTCGGCATACTTTTATTTTTCTGTTTTATTTCAGACTGCAAAATTTGTATTTCATTGTCAAATCAATTAAGAACACATTTATTACTTAGCATTGTTTAAATTAATTTGTACAATGTTCAAAGTTCAATTAAAAGCATAAAATTCTCTCAAGCTCGAAATCCAAACAAAAACACAAATATACACCGCCTGTCCTGCTCTGTGAACATTCAGCTGTGTGGCCAGAGATAAATATTTCTCTGAAGCTTTGTGTTCTCATCTGGCAGAGGAGGGATCCGTGCAGTCACCTCCAGGCTTTTCACAGGACTGAACGGCGCCACTGCTGGAGTCCCCCGTCCACAGGTGCCCGGGACGCTTTCCACTCCCCACCGTGCACGCTGAGGTGATGCGTGGCAGCTCCCAGGCGTCGCTTCCCAACCTGACTGGGACGAGAGCCCCGACCCAGTGGCCGCCCTTCCGCCTGAGGAGGGACCAGTGAGCGTCCACCGCCAAGGCCGCAAGCCAGGAGCGGGCGCGGGGAGGACGCAGCCAGGTCGGGCTGCTCACAAGCGCGACTTCATTCACCTCTGCAAGACATTCTCAGAGAGCTGTGGGGGCGTTGAAACGAGTGTCCGCGAGGTCAAGCGACTCGCCCGAGGCGACACGGCTGGTGCAGTCTGCGTCCCAAGGCCTCAGGAGGAGCTGCTGTGGTGGGCAGGGTGGGGTCAGCGCAGCAGCTCCCACTGAGGCGCTGGGCCATGAAGCAATCGCGAATGCTCCCGCGGCAGGGGCTGGAGCGCCTCCTGGGTGCCCCTCCAAGGGCCTGTAGCTTCGGTGCGATGCCGCCTGAGCCCCGTTGCCCATAAAGCTCCATAGACTTTCAGAATCCCATTCCTCATCGACTGCTCGGATTTCTCTGCCCTCCTGGCCCCCCTAGATCTTCTCTTTTACAACTCTTACTTTAATGAGTTATGGGGGGAGAGTAGCATGGCGATATCATGTCCGTTATCAGGCATACTCAAGAGTTTGACAGTGCACAGACAGACCTAAGCTAGAGTCGCGAGTTGTGGGAGCAGCTGATCCCAAGCATTCAAAAATTTCCACTGGTCCGCTTGAGCGTCTTCATTCTCTGGGCCTATCTGGACCTCCAGCCACCAGAGTTCTTCAGGAACTACTGCCAGAGGTAGATTTCTGTTCCCTCCATCTGCTTTGCCCCAAACTCTGCTGCTCTGGATCTATTCTTACCTCCTTATAAATGTCCCGAGCATTCCCTCTCCTGCCCACACAGGCTCACAATCAGTGCCAACACTGTCCGTGAGACCTATCTCTCCAGTGAACACTTCCTCGAGGATGCAAGCCTACGGCTGATTTCAGCCCAGCGTTCCCTGTACTGAGGTTTTTTTCCCCCCCAAGAAAACATATTGAAGAACTAAAATTCGATGT